ATCGTCGCAAGTCCAGGAGTTTGCCGGAAGTCCGCAGGAGCATCATCGAGGGTTCATTGGATGATCGACAGAAGCTCGCCGGAAGAAGCAATTGACGCACCAGAGCAAGTTGCAGTAAATGTCTTAAGAAATTCGTACTTAGCACGATGATTAAGTTAGAAATGGGAGGTGATCTCATTAACTTAATCTTGGGGCAATTGGGCCCTTGGCCGACCCAAATTGGGCCGAATGGATCAACCCATTCGGACCCAGATTACTTGGCCAAAGGTGGTACCGCTTGGGTCGGCGGTGGCACCACCCAAGGCTTAGTCTCCAAGCTCTGGCTGGGCGGTGCAACCGCCTGAGCTCGGTCTCCGAGCTCTGGCAGGAGGTGCAATCGCCCCTAACAAGAGGTGACACCGCCCAGAGGCTCAATCTTCGAGCTCTGCCAGGCGGTGCAACCGCCAAATCCCGGAATTTCAGGAATTGACAGTTTTGAGTTCGGAATTCAAACTGGGTTGGGGCCTATAAATACCCCACCCTTTCAGCAATGAAAGAGTAACAAAAAACCACCGAAATCCTGATCTTACTCTATGATTTTTAGAGCTCAAAAGTGTTGTATGAGTTAAAAGTTCTCCTTCCTCTTTTCTTCCAAGTTTTGATCTGTCAAGAGAGGAAAGAAAATTCTATAAGGGTTGTCTCCTAAGCCCGTCAAAAGGAGTGAAACTGTAAAAAGGTGGTTGGCCTTCGCCTATTGAAGGAAGGCCTCTAGTGGACGTCGGTGGAGGAAGCCAAAAGTGGATGTAGGTCAAGATTGACCGAACCACTTTAAATCTCGGTTTACATTTACTTTGAGCATATTATCTTTACTGCAAACCTCCTTAATAGCTTACTGCCTTCTGCGCATTTACGATCATGTTTCAAAGTTCAGTATTTTCTGAATCGACGTTTAGATGTAAATCAGTTTTATCGTACGAACATCATATTTCAGTTTACGATATTTCAGTTTACGCTTACATTCTAATTTCCATCATAACTGCAAACTGCCTTCATAGACTTGCTTTAACTGTATCTTGCTTGATCACAAGTTAAAGTGATTTACGAATCGGATTTTCTACCGAAATTGCTATTATCGTATGAACACAGTTTTAATCGTCGAAAATTTTCCGCTGCACTAATTCACCCCCCCCCCCCCCCTCTTAGTGCTCTTGATCCTAACACCAAGAACATTATACCTCGATTCCACGTGACAATCTCATGCAGAACCTCCCACTAGCAGCTCGTCTTACTCATATGCAGGGTGAAAGAGAGAGGGGCCACACCCCCTGCAAACCACCTCAGCAGTTGTATGAGTCTTGCTTTCTCGAGTGGAACTCGAACATACTTGAGTCGATAGGCCACTTGAGGGGCCCGCCAAGCTGTAGAGTCTCGACCTTTCTAGCTATTGTTGATATTGCTGGTGTTACTCTTATTACTATGACCTCTCCACCCGAGACCCCCAAAAGTGGGAGGACTTGGGAGCGCTTGAAACTCTTCCCTCGTGGAAGGAGAGGCACGATGCTAATTGGGTGATAGTGGTGGCGGTGGGATCATAGTCATTTATTCATTATGCCTTATGCCACAGCTTAACACTCCTCCTTGGGCATGCTACTATGCCTAATTCTTGATTCGGATGAGGTCTAGATCTTCACAGGTGACTATGACTCTACCTCCTATCACTATTCATGTTCAGCCCTCTCCTCTCAATAGGAGGATTGGGAAGAACTAGCGTACTTCTTCTTCCCATGGTCTAAGGCAGCTTAGAGAATGATGTTATAGAAGTTCATATCTACAAAACACTTAGATCAACAATAGACCCCAAAAACTTTGAGGGGAAGAGTCTCAATACCAACCCCCTCCTATGGGACTAGTGCTATTTCAACAAACCATTATTTGCTCATCAGTTAGATGGTGTTGTACTTGGACAGGGCATGAGCATTATCATGCATTTCTTGTAAAACCCACTCAGCTTCAAAGAGGCATTGATAAACTTTTGATCAGCCCATGACAAGTTTATTGGCCACCTTTTTCTTGAAGCAATATAAAAAAAACCTTCGTTTCTAGCTCTTATTGAAGCTCGGTGCCACATGAGCAACATAAGATATTGACTTTATAGCCACTTCAAGCTGAAAGAAAGTATATTGAACTCTTGAAACAAATCAAGCAATGTTAGAGTGATGTTGATCCTTCAACATTCCCCAACAAAAATCACAAGGTAACACCAAGTGTTAGGCACCACATGAGCAGGCAAAATCCTCCATCATTAAAAGACCTTAACAAACAAATGATTGAGGGAGAATCAGAGCTCTCTAATGCATCAATATATGTGTAGAGATCATGATTCAACATAGAGGGTTGATCACTCAAAAGGTTATGATAAAATTGAACTCGACTAGAATATAGAAAGTATTCCTAATTTCTTCTAAGTCCTTGAGATGAATGTATCAATCAAAATTGAATGATCATTTCAAAGATGGCAGGATCTTGCTGTCCTGAAGGAACGACCTCCCTAGTAGTAACAACCTCAACCCTTTCAAATGAGGAACTTTAACTTGTGACACCGAAGGAGCTGATAGGATTTGGTGATTTGCTTGAGTCTGATCTATAAGTAGAGGAGAAAGAGGTTAAACTAGAAGACATATAAGACCTTTCTTGTTCTCTTAAGAAAATTTTTACTTTGAAAATTCGAATGCTCTAAATGCACTTCAAAGTAAATGGTGGGCGAGTGAAAGAAGAGTCCTATTTATAGACCCTGAGTGACCCATGGCTATCGATGCCAAATCCTTCGGTTAGCAAATGATCCGCCATGATTAAAGAGGTGACAACCCCCCATTGGCCAAAGATTATTCGCCACATAGATTGTAATCCCTCCAAATCCTCGACCATTTGGCGGACCACTATTTGGAGCTCCTTTATTGAGTCATTATGTGAAATCCCAAGTCTTGATTAGGGCATGCTAGGAGCCAGATCTCCTTGGATCTAATATAACTGCACATGATATTCCTGCAAGAAGTCGAGATAATAAATATAGCTTATACACATTGGTCAAACTCCTCAGCAAAACCATCACATAAATGATATCCAAATATGATAAAGACTATAAGAAGTGAGTGGCACGAGGATCATAACCAACAAGCCAACTCTTTGAGAGAAATGACCTTTAACAATAACATGGCTGAATCGACTCAAAGTATTACCTCGGATGATTGCATGGTCGAAACAAGTTGAAGTGTTGTCCTCGATGATAACATAATCGAATTAGCTCAAAGTACTACATTCGATGATAACACAATCAAATTGATTCAAAGGTTTTACCTTCAATGATAACATGATCAAAGGGCCTGAAGTACTACCTTCAACAATAGCATGGTTGAATTAGCCTGAAGTCCTACTTTCATTAATAGCATGGCTAAATTGGATTGAAATACTACCTTCGACAACAACACAATTGAAATGGCGTGAAGCATTACCTTCGATGATAGCATGATTGAATCGATCAAAAGTGATACCTTTGATGATAGTGTAGTGTATTCAGCCCTGAGTGCTACTTAGGCAACCTGAAAAAATTACATTATTTACAAACTCATTTTTATGTGTAGATTCTATAGCCTAGATGATTACATCATATTTTGACATTTCTTCGCATGCTAAAGCACGATAGGGGAGGAGGGGCTTACATGATGGTAAGATGGAATGACATCTTATGGGCTATCGATACCTCAGTAACTCATGACCAACACCTTAATAACATATGGCTGACACTTCAGTAATACATGACCGACACCTTGAAACTATATTAAAGGAGGACGCTTATATTGATGGAGGAATCCTAAATAACTCTTGAAATATCTAGATTTAATACATAATTAAATGTATAATAATGATCGAATAACTTAGATAATCATCTTGAATTTTTATCTCTAATTCTTGCAGATGCTCTCTCAATTCTCATGGTCATCTCTGATTTAATCCAACTCTCCTTAGATTTTATATTAAATTAGATCTTCCAAACTTTATTGCTAATTTAAGTATCGAGAGGATTTTGTCGGGTATGTCTTCAACATAGTCTTGTAAGATCTCAACACGAGGATTTGATGCTCCCGCTCCAAGTCAAACTACAACATTATTAGGAAATCTGAAATTGGACAATCAAACTATATTATGATAGGACCATATTCTCTTATTATCGAGAATCTTTTATCGGATCAATTTTCCGTTCTTCACAATACGATAAGTATTAATGAATTGAATTTTAACGTTTGCTAAGAGAGAAGACTTACAAATCAAAAGAAAAAAAAAAAGATGCATCACATACGCTTCTTTAGCAAATTCTTATTACTAACCTTTGTGTCTTATTTGTTTCGTATTCAAGCATTTAAGGTCAACTCTCCCAATCGGAGGATTCCTGCCGGCCATCAATTTACTACTTAGGTCGTGTCTAAAAGGAGCCGTGTGACTGACTGGGAGCGGAACAACAGTTGTAGCGATGGCGATAGCTGCTCGCTGGATTCCACTGTAGCCAAAGGATGCTGATGATGGTGTTGGTGGAATAGGAGACCGACTAATTGCTTCCTTACTATATACTTAGTTTTGTGATCATCTTTCTTTAACATCGATTACATTTAATTTACAATCCTTGTATATTACAATCTTGAATAACTGCTGCCTTATATCCCTATTCATTATTTTCCGAGTAAAAGATGGATAGAAACTTGTGTGCAGGTTGTTAGGGCAGCAGACATTGAATGTGACAAAGTGACACGACGCTGAAGAAATCGTTGTAATGGCAACAATTATTCTTGTGACGTTTCTCATCGACGAAGAAGATGATTGGAGATCGATTAAACTTGTCAGACGTCCATGTCAATGTGCTGATGCCAGCCGACCGGCCATGGCTAAGTCGATAAAAGATGAGAGAATAGACCACCACTCTGTGTCTCTTTTCTACTTTATCTCCCTGTCTTTCCCACTTTAGAATCTGTATTGTTCTCTTTCCTCCTTTCGGCCCGTCCAGCGCCGTCCCAACGACCAAATACAAAAACCAACCATCTGCTTGGCCATGAGAAATGGGAGTCGAGCTCTATCTTGAGAGCATGCCGTGGGAATCCCATCTGCTTGGCACTTGAAATCTTTTGGCACCGAGAAGATCCAGACTTACACCGTTGCAATCAGGTCAGTTGTGCTTCTCTTGGAAGAATTCTCAGCTACAGGGCATTTGTCTTAGTGATTTCACTATGGCTTTAGCATTTTGAGGTGATTGCTGCCAAAGGATTTGGTTTTAACTGGTTGCAAGAAGATGGGTTAGGTGTGTGAATTGATGTTCTTTTCCACCATATATATGATGGTGCTTTGCTACTAAATTTTTTTATTTTTAGTTTTACTTTATTACAGGTATTCATGTTATTTTCTTGGCTTCTCGTTGGTTTGTTGTTTCGAACTGCCATTGTTGTCATCATCCTGTGTTGTATATATATATGTACATCTTAGCAGCGATTCTTTTGCGATACGATCGCTACATATCAGCAAGCTTTGTGGTGTCTCGTTCCTGCTTGAATTGTTACCAAGCGAAGACTAAACCCCAATTGATGACAGCTTGCTTTATAGAGTGAAGCAATACGATTGCTTACCCATTAATTCCAGTCAGAAAGCTCTCTTTTGGATTGTTCAGTATAAATTTATTAGCTTATGTTCATGCATATGGCTCTTAGTGCGTATGATCATCAACTTATAGGATTGGGAAGATCTGATGGAACTTCAGTTAGTTCCATCAGATTTAGGTGATATGTTTGAAAACAGATATATAGCTTTATTAATTGGATCTCCGAACCAACAACGAAAGAAAAACAGAACAAACGCCTGTGCTACTATTGTCAGGACAAGATTTGTTTTTTCGGCTTATTGTTGTTCCCAGCTATTAGAATGTGTATCAATAGAAAATTGAGTGTTTTTTGTACAAATTTCACAGGTTCTACAACTCCTGAGCAATAGCTTGTAAAATCAAATATGGGACTAATTTTCTGCTATTGATTTGATTTTATTATTAGTGTGCTTTTTGTGTTCTAGGTGATTCATTCTAGTGGTTTTCACAACACTGGATACTGAAAAACATTTTTCAGAAAAATTTAGTTAGATTTTATGATTTCTTTTGCCGCTCTCATTGGTCTCGTTTCTTGTGGCTGCAGCATTAGAGGGGGAAGGAAGGCAAAAGACACATGGCAATCAGTGGAGAGGAACTCATAGTGCATAGCAAAAAGGTTATGGTATTGTTTGTCAGAACTAGCTATACATCATCTCGTGCTCATCCTCTGGTTTTCAGTTTGGTGCTTTGCATTCCTATGCTGTATAGCTCTTTTCCTAGGCTATTTGGTTTTCTGGTTTCTGTTTCTCCTGTTATCGTCTGCACAGCACTTCTTCTTGGACTCCTCCTAAGTTATGGTGCACCAAATATACCCGAAACTGAAGAAGATGACAAAGGGACTCGGGAAGTTTCTTCCTTGAAAATTGAGGCTACTGCTACGGATCTTGCTGTCAAGAAGACTGAGAGATTTTTGGTTGAGAACCAAGTGGGAAATAGAACAGAGATACAGGAAATAGGAGAAAGAGAGGCATTATCGAGTCAAAGAGATGATAGCACCCATAATAAGTCAGAGGGGAACATACGTACTACATCGACACGATCTGAGGGAGATGAGAAAGCTGATATTGTTCTAACTGCAGGATTAATGGGCAAGTATGAAAAGCTTGAGACTCAAGATGAGGATAAATTGATTCAAAATAGAGAACTTCCACGTCCGGAGATATTGGAAAGCAAAGGAATATCTGTAGAAAAGCCAGCTGAAGTAAAAGAAGAGAGTAAGGAAGTTGGCGCGTCTTTTTCAACTGATCCATTAAAGGGTCACATATTGGCTATTGCAGAAGCTCCTTTGGATGACCAATTTGATTCAACTCTAGGCTCCCCTTGGCTGCATATAGATCGACATGATACTTCATTTGATTCTGTATCAGACCATACAGAAAGTTCTTCTCCCAGTGCTTCTATGATTGATACCACTCCAATGCTTGATGAGCTTCACCCACTTTTAGGATCTGAACATCCTCAGTGTGCTTCTATATCCAAGGATGACTCAAATGTTGCTTCGCGAGAGTTATTACTGGGTCATGGATCAGATGATGATGGCAATGAGAATAAAGCTAAAAATCATGAGAATGAAAAGGATAAAGAAGCATATGAGGAGAAAGATGATGTAACTATTGCTGCTGTGGAATGGACAAAAGATTATCAAAAGAACGTCACGGATCTTGGTTCATTTGAGTTAGAAAGGAGTCAACGATTGGAGAGTTTAATCTTAAAGAGGAGGGCAAGAAAGAACGTAAGATTTCTGACAGGGAATAATCCAAAAGGCGTCGACTATTTAACGAGCATGGATAAAGTCTCACACTTTCATTTCCATGTACCACACATTTCTGCAACAAGACATAATCCCTTCCGATCCCCTGATGATTCAGAAGTTTCAATGGGCTTACCACCGATTCCCAGTTCAGCCCCTTCTTGTCTGGCAGACAGAGGAAACCCCTTTGACTATCTGTATGATTTGGCAGATGAACATAGCAGCCACATAGATGAGAATTGGGAGCAGAAGGAATTTATGTCAAGTCCAAATTGTGAGATGTTTAGAAGTATCAGAAGCTTCAATGTGGAAGGCATGGAACTTGAGCAAGAAAGGCATTGTTCGAGGTTTGATCCCAATTTTGAGGCAGAGAGGATGGATCCAGAGGAGGAAAGTTCTTTTCAGAGAAAATTCAGTAACAGTGGTGACTTGAAGGTTAGTTCTACTCCTGCATCTGTCGCAACTGTTGAATATGATGCTAAAAGGAAAGTTGAATCAATTGATGTGGAGGAAGAGATGAATGATCTTGTTACTAATGATCATGGAATTGTTTTAGACACCAAATTTGTCATTGAAGAAACCTGTCAAGATAATGATTTTGGATCGGTGGAAGAACATACCAGAGAAGAAATAGAAATAGATGCACCCATCTCAGATGGTGAGGGATTAAAAGTAATTGAAGAAAATCATGACAAAGCAACTTATTCATTTTCATCGGGGGCAGATGGGGTGATTTCCAAAAGTACCTTCCATGAAGAATTGGCTAAGTTGGAGCAAACAAGGGAACACTCGGAAATATTTTTTTCAAATTCTAATCTTTTCGGTATGGATGATAAAGCTGATGACTATCAATTTCTGTATCCCATCTCTGATTCTAGCACATTGGCAACAGAAGAAGCTATGTCTCGAATTTCAACAAGTAATGGAGGTCTGCTTGATGCAGGTAAGAGAATTGTTTTCTGATGCATTGGCAAAGTCCTGATACTTTGTCGTTGGTTCATTTGGTGAATTTTCATTTCCACAGATAATGAAGCTTCTAGTGCTAGTTCATCTTGGATGCAAACAGAAGTTCTGGGAGTGGAATCATCTCAAGTAGTACCTGATTTAGCTGATGTTAAATCCTTCATAAATCTTTTATCTATCAAAGGAAGCACAGTAGAAAAATTTCTGTCACATGATGAAGGGCTTTTGATGACTCCTCAAGGTATAGTTTTTACAGAAGTAAATGAAACACGATTAAAGAAAAGTAATAAGGCTGGACAGCATGATATTATTGAAAATGAACTTTCACCAGTCCAAGGGGATTCTGGTCACTTGTTTTCACCTGTGTTTCCAGAACCACCGCATCTTGATATTGTGAATGATTTGTCTTCTTTTCATGATTTATCTTCCTTGGTGACTGAATCAAGTGAGAGTGCTACCGTTGATATGATTTCAAGCACTTCAAAAGAAGGAAGCATGATCGTTGATGCTTTAACATCTTCTTTTTCGGAGGTTTCACACTTTTCTGGTGATTTGGTTTTGTCCAAATTTGAGAAGGAACTGCTAGTAAGAGATAAACCTCAAATACAGTCCCAGTCATCTACCGATGATTTTGGAAAACCTCATACCAGCATTTTGGACTTGTACCCGATCCCTGAGGGGAATCTAGAAGATCTTGAACCTGCTGAAGAGGAAGTAAGCTCCCCAAATCCTAATGAAGTTATTTGTTTATCTGGGTTGCAGATAACTGAAGAGCCTTATATGAATATACTTGACATCAAACAATTCCCTTCCACTGATGAAGCTAGTCATAGTCTTAGTAGGGATTTTCTTATTCATGACCTAGAATTACATAGTCCTTCGGTCCTTATTACTGATGTTTCTAGTCATCATGGTGCAACGACCGAGTTCCAGTTGGTTGAACTAACAGAAAGCATGGACTTCCCAGTGCTTCCTACGATGGAGTCTGTGTTTGAGGTGAAGTTCAGTCGAGATTCAGCTGAGTCAAGAGATGTAATCCAGAATGCAGTCTGGGGTGGGAAAAAAGTTCTTGATAAATTAGAAAGCTCTGATGAGAACCATCCAGAGGTCCTGGAAGCAACAGATATAGATGAAAGCCTGCTTTCAGAGTTGGATAAAGTTGGGGACTTCCATGCCGAAGAAAGTACACCTGATCAACTGGGATTTGAATTGATGATGTCGAGTGATGTTTCATCCGATTGTGTAAGTACCGATCCTTCAAGTTGTGGTTTGCATGTCTGTCCACGTGAGCCTGAAGTTTCTATAGGTAAATCTAGTGTGCTTGCCAATATGTCACAAAGTATATCCTCTAGTGCTGACCTTGGTCGAACTGAAGAGTTGCATTCAGTGGTAAACAATTTAAAAGACATGGAATCTGAAGTTGGGACTTCATCATTTTGGTCATCTAATGAGGACCTTGAGGGGACTGTTTACAATCCTATGCTACAAATCCTTGCATCAAGCTCTATTCAAGAAATGGTATCAGTGATGAATAGACCTCATGAAGAAGATGTGATGTTATCTCTGCTAGACTCCAGATTTGACAAGTCATTGGCAACAGATTCTGTGCTTGAGCCAGGTACTATAGTCATTTCTCAAGGGGATCATGAGCAAAGAGTGACTGATACTGATCTTCTTGTTCTTGAAGCAAAATCTGTTGAAGACATCCACTCGGCAACCCAACAAATTACCGAAGAGCATGTATTTAAACCTATGATTCCTGAAGTTATACCTTCCGAAAAGGAGCCGAAGAAGATACAGTCAGACTTCCTTGTTCTTGGAGCAAAATCTCTTGAGGACATAGAAGAAACAGTTGAGCATCTGAAAGCTGAGGTCCTCGGAGTGCGGCCTGGTGATGACATTCGGGAGTCTTGCAATAGAGTGGAACGAAATGAACTTAAATTAGAGGTTGGAACAGTGCCAGAAGATTTTGGCTCCAACTCTTGGACCTCAATGAAGAATCAGAAAATCCAAAAGTAAGCCTGACTATAGCTCAATTTCAAGTTAAAGTTCAGATAATGACTTGTGGTTTTCCTTTTCTTTGGTTATCGGGTTCATTCGGGTAGTATGGTTTAAATCAAACTGGCTTTTTTCTTTTCCTGGGAAGTGATTTCTTCTACATGGTGATTCTTCTCAAATGAGTTCTTGATGTTTTCGATTTGCTTGTCGATACTTTATTGGCTTTTTCTTTAAACAATGTATATCATTTTTCAGTTTGCAGTCAGTCGAAGAGATTGTAATTAGTTTCTATCGCTAAGTGAATCTTACTGTGTAATGGCATTGAGAGGATGATGAGTGAAGAATGCATTTGTTGTTGACATTCTTGGACTCGTTATCTTGTTGATCTCTCTTGGGTAGTATCTTCCGAAAGGCTCATGGGGTGGGAACCTGAAAAGTTTTCAGTGGATGAGGCCATGGAAATTAAACTATGCAAGATCAGAGAAAATTCAAGCCTTGCATTGGAATTAGATCCCATGGAGAAAGACGTTGTCAGACAGCAATGGTGCCTTGGCCTCCAGGGCAAGTTCTTGGGAACTTAGATTTTTTTCAAAGCTTTTATTCCAAAACTTTAAAGAGTATGTATGTCCTCGAAGATGACATGAACGAGGTTGTTGTTTCTTTTGTTTCTCTTTCTTTGAAAACTCAATTTTTTAACTCCTCATTAAGAGGGTCATCTCTATCCCCACTAGGATTTGATTCTCCATACTTCCTCCCCTTCAATATCTTCAAGCAGGGCCAAGTTTGTTAGAGTATCCTCTATATCTATAGAGGGAGATTCCTTTTCTTTTTCGATTTTTGGCTTTCGAGAATATTCTTAATTTTTGTGGGATGATTGATCATAAAATAGATTTATATCCAATTAGATTAAAGAAGCGAATCGTAAGAGAAGATGCCTTGAAAGGTGTCATTACCGAAGAGTGTAAATATGCCTTAACGAAGTTGTTTGGCATTTGACCTCACCGAAAATGATGCCTTTTTCTCCACCCGAGAGAGCTTATGCCTCTTTTAAGATTGAAAAGGTAGTGTTTGGCCATTCTTAAGATAAAATGGACATCTTGTTCGATAACGAGAAACTAAGTGGACTTTTCAATAAAGAGAAATAACTAATTACTCTAATTTGATATTTCATAACAGTAAAAGAAATAAAGAGAACAAGTAAAGAAAACTTATAAGAACTCCCAGTGGTGTCCACAAAAAAAAATCCAATTGCAAAATTGAGTTCGTCTTTATGCTACCTTTAGCAAACTAGAGGATATCCATCCTACGTTTTTCTGAGGCAGTTCTACGAATCCATCCAAACATCATTTGCAATGATTCCCTTCTTTAATCAAAGTCCAATTATGAGATAGGGTGATGTTTCACATGATTATTTCGATTGATTCGTTTATGCATATAACATTGAATGTACTAATCAAGTGAATATCATTGGGTCCTAATCATCATCAAGCTATGATCCTCAAGTTTTAGAAATGAAAGAAGCACCATAATCCTTTGATTGATGGAAGAACAGATCTATGACATCACAGTGAAAGAGAAATGATCGGCTAAGACACCAACAATATCAAAGTAGGGCTACGATCATGATGGATTGGCAATATAGTCGTTGCGATAGAACAATGACATAGACACGGTGATGGAGTGGTAATGACGGAGCAATTGAATGCTTGAGAATACGAAAAACGATTGCAGCTAGGGTTAACTAAATATAATGTAGTCGGTTTAGGGTTTTTCTTATGGTCCTATCATAATTTTACGATGTTTGTCATATATAATCCTATAGTCCAGATTGTATATTTAAATTTAATATTTATTTAAACCAATAAATTTAAATATTACATAATAAACATTAGTGAGAAGATATGATTTATCATTAATAATGATTTAGTGGCAACAATAATAATATTTATCAACTAAAATATCAAAGACAATGTCAAAGAATATTAGATCAAGTGGTGGACATTATCATAGAGAAACCAAAGATAATACCAAAGACAACGATGAGTGAAGATTGACAGGCGACGACATCAAGCGGTAACTAGGGTTTGTCTTAGGAGGGCGAAGAAAAAATTTGTCTCTTTTATTTATAAAAATATTATATCTTGCTTAAGTCGATTCATATGAATTTTGATGAAAAAATATATTATATCACCAAAATTAGTTTTAGTAATAATAATAATAATAATAATAATAATAATATTTATTAACTAAAATATCATTTATGATAATCATAATATTTTTATCATATATAAAAAATATTTGTGACAGAATTAGTGACAATACCATGACCAATTTATATATACAGGAGATTTAGTGAGGATATATTAGTGACAAATGATAGTTTGTCATTAAAAAACTTTTTAGTGACAACCTCGTCAATAAATTATCATTGAATGATAAATTTAAATGTTTGAGCATACAATCCATGGCTAATGACATGTTTTCTTATAGTGCAAGTGTAGAAGAAGATATTGAAGTTAGTTTTTTCAACATTAATGAAACGTGAAGAGCTTAATTAGAGGAGTCATGATTTAAAATAATTTCAACGTCACTTACTAGTTTGGTCGACCGTTATCCAAGGGCCTATTGAAGATTAGAAGTCTTGCCTAGCCTACTAATTACAAGTGCCCTACAAGTCAATCACGTGAGTGATGACACATGATACGCTGCATAATCTTTTTGGTTATTATTATTATAGTATTTTATCACTTTATATTGATGATGAATATATTATGATGTCTTTGGATCTATGCAATGAGAATTTGATCATGATGAGATCATGATAGTGAGATTAATTCGTCTATAAACACAGATCCTAAATATTCCCGATCATAAGTTACTCGAGAGGGACATCGAGATACCTGGATAGATCGGTATGCTATGTTGAATCTCGAATTTTGATTATAAAATCAATTGATGAGTTTATGGACTAATAAGCATTTGAGATAAGTGATGTAGGAGAAACTTCGATCATGGACTTGAATTAAAGTAGGAGAATCAAACGTTGGGCTGGAGAGCATCATATCAGAAATTGGACGTCAGGCCGAAGGATTGGTCGACATGCCGTAGGATGGACTTTATGTCATGAGTTCGGGCATCGGGCTGAGAGGATCAGGTATTACGCTAAGAAAATTGAATGTTGTGAGAGGTCAATATAACAATGAATCATGCAATACGTCGAAGGAAAGAACGATGCACCGAAGGTTCGGATAAAGTACTGGATGAATAGATAATATAACAAACAACGTGCTGAAGGCTTCATGATTGTAATTAGAGTTGTTAAGTCTTGATTGAAGTTGTTTAGAGTCTAATTGAGTTAGTTTTAGGGCATAACCATGCCAACTTGATTAGGAGCCCATTGGGCCTAAACTAAGGTCAAAATGGGCCTGTTGGAAGGCCAATTCAGTGACCTGGGGTTGGGTTAGGTGGTAGTACCACCAGGCCCAAGCGGTGGTACCGTTAGGCCTATGCGATGGTACCGCTTGAGAGTTGGAAAGCATGAATTGTGCTTTTCTGGGAATCCCGATGGTAGTACCGCTCAAGTAGGTAGTGGTACCACTAGAGCCCAGAATCCCAGGCTCTATTCAATGGTGGTACCGCTAGAGCCCATATTCCTGGGCTCTATATGGTGGTAGTACCGTCCGACGCGAGCGGTAGTACTGCTAGTACCTCGAAAACTCGATGATTTAAATTTTTGGCTCTATTTTTGAAGTCATTTGGGGTCTATAAATACTCCACTCATGATTGCTTAGTAAAAGTATAAAAACTTATGATTTGAAGTATGTAAACTCTCTTGAAAAGTGTTGAAACTCTTTCTTCTTCAGTTTAGAGGTCAAATTGAGAAGTTGTGTGGTTTTCTTATAAAAGAGAGGTGCGAAGGTTTTCTCCTAAGCCTATGAAAAGGAGAAAAAGTTGTAACAAGGATAGTTGATCTTTGCCCATTGAAAAGAAGATCGATAATGAAAACTGGTGGCCTCGAGGGAAAAGGAATTGGGAGAGAACATAGGTTGGGACGATCGAACCACTATAAATCTGGTTTGCATTTCTCTTTATATTTTTTCTTGCTATTACTAACTAATTTAGTTGCTCACTACTCTTAATCATGTTCTAAGTTAATTATATTTTCGATATATATTTTTTGTTTAAAATTTTTTAAATCGAAACTTTATTTTGAAAGCACTAATTCACCCCCCCCCCCCCACTTAGTGCCTTTACGATCCTAACAATTGGTATCAGAGCCAGATTTTCTCAATTAGTTTAACATGTAAGAGAGATTAAATGACTTTTTCTAGCAATCAAGAGAGTCACTCTATCACTCGTCCTCCTATATTTAGTGGGACGAACTACACTAATTGGAAGACACAGATGTAAATTTTCTTGATTTCTATGGATTTTGATTTGTGAAATATCGTTGAATGTGGTTTTCAAAAATTTTCTAAACTGAGAAATGAATGAAATGATCTTGAAAAAAAAATATTTTCTTTAAATGCTAAAACTATGAATGTTTTATTTTGTGCTTTTGACAAAAATAAGTTTATTCGTGTTTCTAGATGTGAAACTACACATGATATTTGACACGCACTTGAAGTTACTCATGAAGACACAAATAGAGTAAAAGAATTTAAGATTAATCTTTTGGTACATAGTTATGAATTATTTAGAATGAAGCAAGTGAAACCATTGGTGATATGTACACCCATTTTACGGATATTGTTAATGGTTTAAAAGCTCTTGGTAAATATTATACTAATCTTAAATTGGTTAATAAAATTTTAAGATCTCTTCCAAAAAGTTAGGATCCAAAGGTAACTATAATTCAAGAAGTAAAGAACTTGAACAATTTTCCTCTTGAAGAACTCATAGGATCATTAATTATTAGGATCATAGAGGCACTGAGAGGGGGTGGGGGTAAATTAGTACTTTCAAAAAATTTCGGTTTGAAAGTTTCGATTGATGAAACCCGTATCGAAAATGTGTTTAACTTAGAATGTGATTAAATATAGTAAGCAACTAAATCAGTTAGTAATAGGAATAATAAGTATAAATGAAATTCAAACCAGATATATAGTAGTTCGATCATATCGACCTACATCCACTCCCGATTTCTCTTCCCTCGAGGTCATTGGCTTTCACTACCGATCTTCTTTTCAATGGGCGAAGATGAACTATCCTTGTTAGAACACTTTCTTCTTTTCATAGGCTCAAGAGAGAACCTTTACATCCCTCTTTTATAAAAGATCTTATACCACCCTTAGAAAGACTTCTAAACTCAAGAAGGAAGATACTCAACACTTTTCAAGAGTCTATAATACTTTTATCCTC